TGGGGCCTGAACTCTGGGCCTGGGTGCTATCCCTCAGCTCTTCAGCTCAAGGCTAGCGCTCTACCACTTGAGCCACAGCACCACTTCCAGCTTTTATTTTTTGCTTATGTGGTGCTGAGGAATCGAACCCAGGGCCTCATGCATGCAAGGCAAGCACTCTACCACTGAGCCACCGTGCCAGCCTGTGGATATCTTTTTAAGAGTGTTGGGCTAGTCATATGGGAGCAGGAGGTGAGGTCAGAGGATGGCAAGGCTGTGTGTCATGTGTACTAAACGGCCTGGGATTGGTCCTGTAGGCAGTGAGGATACGTAAATCTGATGGCAGGATACATAAATCCATAAGGACATTCAACGTGGGTAGGTCACCCATATAGACAAAATTGAGATGAGGCTTGAGGGAGCCAAGAAGAGAGGGAAGACCAAGCCAAGGAGTGGGGTGGGGTGTCAGCAAGGGCAGCAGGAGGCATCAGACTTGAGAGGCTGGGGAACAGAAACAGAGAATCCAGAGTGTGTACACACAGGGGTTCTCAAGTGACAGGGCTGGGTAGGCCTGAGGCTGGAGAGGAGCCTGAGGCATGAGCCTGTGGCTGTCTGGAAAGTCCTCCCCAGACCGCCCCACACTCTCACATCACCTTTTGTCTTCAATCCTGGAGTTACTAACTCTTCTGTTGCCGGCCTCACTGAAGGTTTCTAGAGCTCAGGGACACAGTGTCCCCAGGGTCTAGAGTAATTGTGTATGCTAAATGGTGTTTAGTGGACAAATGTAGCTCATTGAAACTTAGGGGAAGGGACAGCATGAAAGTGATAGCTGAGCCCTTCCCCTAGGGTTATCCCTGTCCCCTCCCCCCAACTCCCATGAGTATACTCTCTTCCTCCCTTCTACCTCTACCCCATAGACAGCCTCTTCTTCTGGGGCTACACACTGACTCACCCTAGCTGCTAGGAAAACAAATGGTAGCTTTCTTCTCATAAAAGATGGGGTGCCCCATCCTGAACTCCTTGTGCAAAGACAGCTGTCTGCAGAAGGGGAGCCTTTGGCTCTGCTTTCTAGTCATTGACCTGAACCCACTGCCCCATAGGTTATCCCAAGATGGGAGCAGGGCTGCCATAGTGTGAGGGATTGAGGGTAGGCTGGGCATCAAAGTAACTTTTCCAAGGTCTCCTATGCTTGTTGGGAGTAGCAGTGGAATTTGTCCTCTTATGTTTGCCTGTGTCCAGCCTACATTTCCCTGATCACTTCCTTGATATTCATCACAGTGGCACGTTTGCCATCAGGAACCCCCTTGGCTGACTGTGAAGAAAATCCAGGGGCTAGTGGTATGGCTCATAAGTAGAGTGACTGCCGGACACATGGGAGGACCTGGTTTCATTCCCAGCACTGCCAAGGAGAGAGACCCAGAGGACACATCCCTTCCTTCCCTCCTGTACTCCATCCTGCTGCTCATTTGTCTTCTGGCTGCCTCTAGCCCCTGAAAGCCATCTACCTCTTCCTCACCCCACTCATAAAAAAAAAAAAAAAACCTTCAAGCTTGGGTTCTCTGAGGGCCCTGCCCCTTGGAACACTCAAAGAAGACCATCCTTCTCATTTTCCATGCCTGATTCTTGGGCTGTTTACCACACTTAGGTGTGAGGCCTTCATAGGCTCACCCCACCTGGGCATCTGTCCTTCTGGGTGGGGTCACTGTCCCTAACAGCAAGGGTCAGAAGAATATTGATAGTAGGGATGCGTGGTTAAGCTCCTTAGTGCTCAGCTCTATCCCTTAGCTACTACAGACTTCACTGACCATTATCTTTTTCTTTCACTCTCAAGTTTTCCCTTGGCTGGTCTCAGGGCTCATGCTTTCTTTTGTTTCCTCTCATTAAATCCCGTTGGTTGAAGGATGTTGCCATTCCATGCCATCCCTCAGGCTTTCCCTTGGTGGTTATTTGGCCTGATTGGTGATCTTCCTATTTACACTTCCCATTATAGTTGGGATGGCAGGCGTGAGGCACTGTCCCAGCTTTTTCTGTTGAGATTGAGAGTCTTGCAAACTTTTTGCCTAGCCTGGCCTTGGACCTTGATCCTCCCGATCTCTACCTCCTAAGTAGCTGGGATTACAGGTGTGAACCACTGGTTATCAGCCCTAAAATTGTCTTGGGTATCAGAAATAGATCGTCCTGTGAAACAACTTCAGCCTGGTATGCCTCCTGCCCCTCTCTGCTCCTCAGAAAGAGTCTAAAAATACTCTCTCTTTCCACTGAAGTTTCTTTTTTCCACTGTAGAAAGTGAGCTGATTGGGGTGGGGGTGGGGGAGTAAGAGGGCAGGAGGAGCTGGAGGGATTGTGTTCTTTGACAGTATCTAAGGCCTGGCAGCTGCCTCCAGAATGTCCAGTGGAAAGTGTGTCCCCTAGATTTCCTCAAGTGAAGGCCACTGGATCTCTCTGGAAACCCCCTGTTAGCAAGAGATGACAAAGTTTTATTCAGTAGTATTTCAAGACACATAGTTTAAATAAACAATTTATGAGTCTGCAAGTTGATAACTCAAAACCAGTCAAAGCCATGAGATACAGAAGTAAGAGGATGTGGTGCATATTTGTGTCTGTGCTTTAGTATACAGTACAAAGGAATGAAGCAGAAATGGATCTCTATCTTCCAACCTTCCAAGACTGCACCCAGGGGCATGAAAAGAAAGAATTATATAAAGCATGGCTTCCGGTGAAGTGGCTACTTTTCTCATTAACTGGCCAGTGCGTATGACAGGGACCCTAGAGAATGCCAGCACTCCTGCTGCCATGACTTCCCTATCAGGCAGCTACTGGGGAGGCAGCCTGTCCCCCTCCTCCCTGCCATTCCTAGCCTCCAGGTCAGGGACTTGGGGCAGCCTAGACTTTAGGCTGCCACACAGCTCCCCTAGGGAGGATTCTCTACTGCCTCAGCCTTCCAGAGGGGGTCTTACTTTATCACTGTCACTGTTGACAGCATAAGTGGCCATCTTTCCTGTGTGTGTGGAAGTAGGGAAATAAGGATGCTTAGTAACTATGAGAATTGACTTCAATTTAACTTGACAGATGTTGACTGATGGCCTTCTCTGTGCAATGACAAGAGATGTGTATGTGCTGTCAAAAGGTGAGAGGTGGGAGACAGGAACACTGTTATGTAGGCATGTTCCAAGAAGATCCTGAGAAATACATGGCACCCCTAGGCTTCTCCCATCTCTGCACTTTCACATCAGACTGTTCCTTTAAATCTCTCCCCCCCCCCCTGCCTTTTGTTCATCTGTTGGCATCAGAGTCTTAATCAGTGGAGATTGCTGTCATGAACATATGCTCTGTTAGCAGCCATCTCACCCAGGCTGCCCAGGGGTCCCAGACATGGGCTAGAATTGTGGCAGGTGGGGACAGGGTACATTAGTCAAGACTGCTTGGCTGCAAATAACAGACACCAACTGTGCTTGCCTAGGCAAAGAGGAGAGAGATTGTCCTGACAAAGCTGAGCCTCCCAGAAGCCCAGGTCACACAGGCCAGGGATGTGTCTGGGCCTGGGAAAGGACAGAAAGGATCAAGAAAGCCCTCCAAATCCTCTCTTCGCATGTCTGCTCCTCTTAGCACACCAGCTGCTCCTTTTCTATCCCTGTCCCCTGGTATTGTACTGGCACATGGCTACCTCTCAAGGCCCACATTTATAGAGGACAGTTTCTTTCTTTTTTTCTTTTCCTCCTCCTCTTCCTCCTCTTCCTCCTCCTCCTCCTCCTCCTCCTTCTTCCTCCTCCTCTTCCTCCTCCCCCTACTTTTTCTTCTTCTCCTTTTCCTTCTTCCTCCTCCTCCTCCTCCTCCTCCTTCTTCCTCCTCCTCTTCCTCCTCCCCCTACTTTTTCTTCTTCTCCTTTTCCTTCTTCCTCTTCCTCCTCCTCCTCCTCTTTTTCTTCTTGTTCTTCTTCCTCCTCTTCCTTCTCTTTTTCTTTTTGTCAGTCGTGGGTCTTGAACTCTGGGCCTGGGCACTGTCCCTCAGCTCAAGGCTGGCACTCCTACCAATTGAGTTGCAGCACCACTTCCAGTTTTCTGGTGATTAATTGGAGATAAGAGTCTCACAGGTGTTTCTGCCTGGGCTGGCTTTGACCCATGATCTCATATCTCAGCTCCTGAGTAGCTAGGATTACAGATGTGAGCCACCAGCTCCCAGAAGAGGACAGTTTCTTTACCAAAAGAGAAGGACCACCTCTCCCTGAGGCCTGGAACTGAGCTACTGAGACTGGAGCCCAAGTAGGGCTGCAGAACTACTACTGTGAATCTTTGTGAATGCAGAGGAGGGAAAGTCTATACAAGAGGGGCCCTGAAAAGTATCCACTGACAGGAGACAGCACTATGGTTCTGTACTCCTTCTCCCCTTTCCTTTCTTTTCTTTTTTTTGGGGGGGTCCAATCATGGGGCGCTGTCCCTCAGCTCTTCAGCTCAAGGCTAGCGCTATACCACTTGAGCCACAGCGCCACTTCCGGCGTTTTTCTTTTTGCTTATGTGGTGCTGAGGAATCGAACCCAGGGCCTCATGCATGCAAGGCAAGCGCTCTACCACTGAGCCACCTTCCCAGCCCCTCCCCTTTCCTTTCTTCTTCCTCTCCTTCTCTTTCTTCCTCCTCCTTCCTCCTCTTCTTCTTCCTCCTTCCCTTCTTTTTTCTCCTCCTCCTTCTTCCTTTGTTTAGGGGTTTGAACTCAAGGCTTTATGCTCACTAGGCAAGAGCTCTCCTGGTCCTTTTTCTTTCTTTCTTTTTTTTTTTTTTTGGGTCCGGTCATGGGGCCTGAACTCTAGGCCTGGGCTCTGTCCCTCAGCTCTTCAGCTCAAAGCTAGCGCTCTACCACTTGAGCCACAGCGCCACTTCCGGCTTTTTTCTTTTTGCTTATGTGGTGCTGAGGAATCGAACCCAGGGCCTCTGGCATTCAAGGCATGCGCTCTACCACTGAGCCACCTTCCCAGCCCTCCTGGTCCTTTTTCTTATTGTCTCAAATTTGGCCTGGGTAGGAAACAATGGAAATAAATACGGGTTTCTGGAGCCATTTGTTCTCCCATGGAAACAGAAGCAGAGAGTGTCACTAGGAGAAATTGCCATGTGTTTTTCCTCAGCATCCCCCCTTCCTCCTCCCACCCAACCTCCTCCAAGTGGGCTATGAATATGATCTGTAGACTCTCAGTTATTTATTTATTTATTGTTACACTAAGGATGGAAATTAAGGATCCCTGTGCATGCTAGGCAAACAGTCAGCCACTATGCTCTACCTTAGTCCTAGACTGTCAAGTTTGGGCGCTAAACTGAAATGCTAAAGCAGAGTTGAAGTCACAGGACTCCGCTGGATTGTGAAGGAGGTTGCTGAGCAGTGGGTGGGAGTGGGCTCTGGGGCACTGGAGGGGATATGGCTGATGGAGGCAGCATGCTTTCCAGCTGAGTCTTCCTGACAGCCTCTGTAGGCAACTTCAGCACTCCTCAAAATCTAAAAGAAAGTGTTGGCCCAGATAGGCTGTACTGATGCCATAGTGGCATTCAATTCCTGAATATGTAAATTAAATAAGAGCACCAAGTAAGAAAGTCAAGCTGCCAATGCTGTTTGCAGTAAGTGAGATACAGACAAGGTGTAATTAAGGAGGCCTTTTGGAAACTGACCTTTCAACTTCCAGTGAGTATGTTAGTTAGAGATAGAGTTTCTGTGGCTGCTTGAGGATTGGTTGGATCACATTGCTGCAGGCAGTAGGGCATTGTTAAATGCTGTGACAATGTTACGGTCAGTGCCATGGTACCATGAGTGCAAGAGGTGCTGCCTCCTCCTCTGGGTATGTACATCTGGTAAAGAGCACAGCACTGAAAGGGGACCCAATTTCTGAGGAGCCCTTTAGATACAATTCTGGTTTGGGTACATTCTGAAACTTCCAAATTACAACATTTAAAAAATGGTTTTATAAGTTAATGGATATGGTAATCTGTTCGTTTTTTCTGCTCTTTCCTCTTTGTGTGTGTTTTCATTTAAGGGAGTCTACAGGTCTTGCTTTCCATTATAGTTCTGTGGGCAGATGCGTTCTGACACTGTCCGCAGCACAATATAATAGAAGAAAATAGGGCTGGAGCAAGACTCCTGCAGGTGAACTCTAGCCACTGATGGGGTTCTGGCTCCCTTTGGGTTCTTGCATCCCTGAGCTGGAGTCATTCCATCTGCCAATAATGGGGCTGGGCTAAACTAGATTGCCTTAGCAGTCTCTGATCTATGGAGGAAGCCTAGAGTTAGCCTTGATTTCCCATCCCTCATCAATTTCTCCTTTACTCTATGCTCAATTTGCCTACCTTTCCTGCCTCCACTGAGGAGGGCAGGCGTCCTACTGGGAGGAACCGAAGCAAACCTTCTACTCCCTTCAGCCGAACAGCCTCTCCAATTGATTTCCTTGCTATTAAGCAAATGCCTACATCTTAGGATGCACCACGGTGCTTAGGTGTTATTTCTCTGCCTCTTCTCCAAGGAAATGCATGCTGAATTAAGTTTTGTGTTTTTGTTCACGCTCAAGAGCACCATTGAAAGCAAAGGATTTTGCCAGCCATGGCATGGCAGCAATTGCAGAAGAACAGAGGAAACTTTTCCCAATGCTGTTGGCAATAGGAATTGCAAAGCTACCAGCCTTAGGCCTGGGCTGACTTTTCTACACCTTGTGGCCCTGGGTAAGAACTGCTTCCTAACAGGCCTTCCTCTCTTCCCAGGCATGGGCTGATGCCTTTCGGAGCAGTCCTGATCTAACTGGTGTTGTGCACATATATGAGGAGCTGAAGAGGAAGGGGATTGAATTTCCCATGGCAGACTTGGATGCTTTATCCCCTATCCACACACCCCAGCGGGTAAGCTTCCAGCTGGCATTTTCTAGAAAGACCAACTATAGAACTGGTGAGCCAAGCCGCTGCTACCACCCTTCTGCTGCTGCCTTTGAATTATTCAGCTTGTCATCATGCTTTCTTAAAGCTCCAGGGCATTTCTTTTTAATAACAAGGGGAATGCAAGAGGAAGACAGCTGGTTGACTGGTGATTAAGTGGCAGCTGTGTCTCCCCCATTTTCACACTGACTGTGGAGGAATATAATAGAGGGATCAGTTCAGTGTTTTCATAGAGATGGCTGCTTGGGTGGAGCTATCCTGTGAGGGTCATTAGCACCTGCTTTGCAAAGGCCTATAGAATGTGCATGGGAATCTATCCACCATCCTCTGGAGTACCTGAGTACCTGGGAGCAATGAACTGGGGTGATATTACTCATCAAGAACAAAAGAGCAACTTTCTGTTTTTTCAACAGTACACATCAACTGGATCTTTTTTTTTTTTTTAATGTGCTGGAGATGTAACCGGAGTCTTTTTGCATGCTAAGCACACAATCTACCACTGAGCTACACCCCAGCCCAGTCAAATGCATTTGAAGTATGATTTTAGCTCTGGGCATTCAGAATCAGTTCTGGCATCCTTGAATTCGGTCATTCTTGCAATTCAAAGCCCAGTAAAGGTCTGTGTCAAGGCATCCCACAGAAGCTGGGCCTGTGCCTCAGAATTAAGTATCTCAGAATTAAGCCAATACCATTCATGGTTCCACAGGGAAGTAAGTCTCTATGATACCTGGGAAGCAGTTCCTGGCCCAGAGTCACAGCCAGAAAAACTCAGGATCTGAAAAGGTACCTGTCACAGTACATTTGGCCTTGCTGATTTGTACCTGCCATGTCCAACAGGAGTGTCTTGAGAAGTGCAGTGTGGGGTACACAATTCATGTGAATACCAGCACTGTGGTTGATGAGGTTACCTGACATGCCCACTTTCCAAAGCATTTCTCATTCTGATCTCTCCAAACCACTTACTATGCTTTGTGGTATAAACATAACCTGCTTTATTCTTCTAATAATGACTTAGACAGAACAGACTGGTTGTTCTTATAATTACAAAGAACATTCGGTAAATTGCATAATTGCTATTTATATTATTCTACTTGCAAAGGCCAAAGCATAGTCTTGTGGTACCAAATAAGGATTCGTGATTAGCAAACCTTAATAACAGCCCTCCCTCCACTCTAATCCTGAGGTGGTCTTAATGATGGAACCATGACCAGAATGCTCACAGAGTTTTCTCTGTGGGGCCCTTTCGAGTTGTGTTGGTTGCCTGCCACATGCTCCTTGTGAGATGAGGGAGGGAGGAGCCACTTGTGGCCCTGCTACCCAGATGGAGTGACTGGGTAGGCACAGAGAAGGTCCTTGAACTCTAATAGAAAGCACCACCTGGGCTGGGGTTAATGCCAGGCCAGGCTGCATAAACTACCCAAGTGAACCAAAGCCTTTGTTATTGTCATGCCAGAGTGTCCCGGAAGTGGATCCAGCTACAACCATGCCTAGGTCCCAGTCACAGCACAGGACAAGTACCAGCTCCTATTCCTCACCGCTTCCTGCTTCCTACACCACTCCACAGGCCCCAGCTCTGAATGTGACTGGTCCCATCACGGCCAATTCAGAACAGGTACTTCCATACTTCCATCCATAGACAAACCAACTAGCTTTCCTTCTGCCCTTTCCAGGGTAACACATGGGGGTCTCCCCAAATGAGGTACTGTGCTAGGTATCGGGAACCAAAAAAAAAAAAAAAAAAGATGGGGGGGGAATGATTCAAGAAGATGGATGAGACAGACTGTTGTCATCAGAGCCAAATACTCCATGAAGGCACATGCTCCTGGAAGGCGGCCTGGGAGCTGATGCCCTGGGGACCCTGAAATAGGCCTGGGGCTTTGTCCGGTGAGGCCTGTGCAGGCAGTGGCAGCTTAGTGCAGGTATTATGCATAATGGAGCTCCTCGGGGAGCACTAAGTGGCCTGCCTGCAGAGGTACATAGGCAGTGCCCAGGTAGGAGAGGATAGTGACAGAAAGCAAAGCCAAAAGTACAGAACATAGACAAATTGTGAACAACTTACCTGCCATACAGAGAGATTTACTGTAAGAAGTGTCAGCCATCTGAGGCCAGTAACCCATCAGCAAGTAAGTAAACAGAGGCTAAAATCAGGGAGGCCTTTTAGAAGCAGAATTCTCACCTCATCTCAAATACAGCTCCTATTTTCTGGGTTACTTCCTGAGATACCAATGCAGTTTTATCTCAAAATAGGCATTTTTAGATGAATTGTGGGGACTGATCTTTAGATGAATCTATAGAATTTCCATTAGTGATTTAGAAAAGTTACCCAATGTTTATAGTTCCCCAAATCCTTAGTTTCCTATTTGTCATAAGGTCATTGTTATGAAACCTCATTAAAACAGGTCAAGTGCTGAGCGCCGGTGGCTCAGGCCTGTAATCCTAGCTACTCAGGAGGCTGAGATCTGAGGATCTGGGTTCAAAGCCAGCCCCAGCAGGAAAGTCCGTGAAACTCTTATCTCCAATAAACCACCAGAAAACCAGAAGTGGCACTGTAGCTCAAGTGGTAGAGCGCTAGCCTTGAGCTGAAGAGCTGAGAGACGGTGCCCAGGCCCAGAGTTCAAGCCCCACAACCGACAAAAAAAAACAACAACAGACAAAAAACCAGGCCAGGTGATTTTGTGTAGGTAACAGCTGTGTTGTGTCATGGCTGTTTCCCTCTCACTTCTCTGCCAGCACTGAGGGAATGTGGTACAAGCAAGATTCAAGCTGAGAGTCACACAGCTGCATACTGTATGAGCTGTACCCTGCCACTCACTGTGGGGCTTTGGCGAGACAGTTGACCTCAGTCTCCTATTACCAGAACAGGTGATAATCCTACCCTACAGGGCAGCTAGGGGCTTGAGTAGCAGATGGAGAAGATTCTCATGTGGCCCCTAAGTGCTCTGGGGCAGGAGTTCCAATCCCACAGCTGAAATTTAGGGCCTGTACTTTGTATGAGCCTGGATCACTAAACACAGCCCCTCATCATTACCCACATGGCCACGGCCTTCCCTAAAGGAGCATAAGGGAACAGAAGATCTTGGTTCTAGGCCCTGATTCCTTGTCTGGAGCTTGTCCCTACTTGCTTAGAAGAACGTATTTGAAGCTAGACAGCCACTGACTCATTGGCTGGCATGCCATCAGTGTGATGGATGCTTGGAAAGGACCTTCCAACAGCCAGAGCAGCCAAGAGGAATCTCTGGAATAGTGAATGTGAGCAAGCACAGTAGCTCAGGAGCCTTGAAACCTGGTATCTCTTGGGGAAAGTGAAAAGATAGTGCCCCGACTATCCTGCTTCAGCGCTCACATCGTCACCAATGGTAGCACTCCTAGGTCACCTTAACCTTAAGCCTCTTCTTAGCTAAGATATTGAAGAATCCTTGGGAACATTCACCAGATTAGACAGAGGCCAGCAAGAACCTTTCAGGCCCTGGTCTATCTTCCAGCTGATCATTGAGTGAAGTCTCTTGCCTAACCCTGTGCTGAGTCTATAGAACTCAGCCTCTAGCATCCCTGCTGTGAGTAACTAAGTCTACCAAGAGAGAGGAGAGGTTGAAGGATAACTGGGACAGAGAAAGGCCTCACTGAGGGGAGGAGGTACCATAGGGAGTGTTCCTCTGCAGGAAGAGTACCTATTCAGTCCATCTCTGGGTTGTGTACAGGAGTTGGCCCACACATGGAATAAAAAGGATCATATATGCCAGGTGCTGGGCAGGTGAGGTATGGGGCTATCACCCCCTTGCTGCAGGGAAGGATACAGGCTAGGAAAGGATAGGAGTGCTTCTGGATGTTGTAGCTCCTTGTACTCACTCCTAGGGCTCCTTCCAGTGTCTCAGGGAAGTTCCTTATGTTGGCCAATGTATATTAGTTTCCCATGGAGAATGGTGGGACCAACAGACCTTTTTCTGCTGATTCTTTTATGATGCTTGCTGTAGGCAAAGAAGGTCCTTGTGGCCTCCACAGGTATGTCTTGAGGTGATTTAGAAGAAACTCAGCTAGAAACCAAGGAGAGACAGCTTCTGGAGAAATTGCTCAGGCCATGTCTAGGTTTTAGAGGTACTGATGGATAGGCAGGGTGGGCAATTTTCAAGGACCTTGTTATCAAAGAGCTGAGTGTAGAGGGGTTCTCAGCTATGGTCTATCTTGCTCTTCCTCCCTCATTCAGAAGAGTGCTGTTAGCAGTGTCCAGCCTCCCAGAGGATCACAGAATTCAGAATATGACACTGCTAGGGACTGAGTCTTTGACCATGAAAATCATAGAATAGGTTTTTAGCCTCACTCCCACACTTTGAGTTTAGAAGGCAGAACAATAGCCCTAACTGGTTAGGTTCCTCTTCAAGGAAAGGCTGAAACAGAAACATCTTGACTTCCTTCTTTCTCAGAATTTTTCACTGTGCTCTGCTCTTGCTTCAGAGGCACCAATAACAGTCAGAAACCAGGACTCTGGGAGACATGGCTCCTGATCCAGTTCTCTCCAAGTTGCCAGTCCTCCTAGTCCCAGTGGAGGGGACTGCAAAGGCTACAGATTCAGAAGGGTGTGACCAAAGTCTTACTGTGAATAGGGTCGTCCAAACTATGGGACATTGGTTCTGGTCCTCCAGCTGCATCTAAATGATCTTTCCTTCCTGCTCTCCTACCCTCCATCCTGCAGATTGCCAGGCTGCGGAGTGAGCTGGATGTTGTTCGGGGAAACACAAAAGTCATGTCCGAGATGTTAACAGAAATGGTCCCTGGGCAGGAAGACTCATCTGATCTGGAGCTGCTGCAGGTGAGGAGAACCTGCACACTGTGGCAGGACTCTAGCTGGAGGTACAGCTATGAGACTGATGGTCTCATGGCAAGGTGGTCAAGAGAGATTTAGGCCACATTGGCCTACACTCAGCCTCACTTGCTCCTAGGGAAGAAGTGAGTACTATCTTCTCTCTTTTTTATTTTCCTCATTACTTTTTTCCCTCACTATAAGGTGACAACTGTAATCTTTTTATTAGATATATATTTGTTGTTATTGTTGTTGTTGTTGGTGGTGGTGGTGGTCATGGGGCTTAAACTCTGGGCCTGGGCATTGTCCCTCAGCTCTTCAGCTCAAGGCTTGCATTCTACTACTTGAGCCTCGGCACCACTAACAGTTTTCTGGTGGTTTATTGGAGATAAACTGACTTTCTTGCCCAGGCTGGCTTTGAACCGTGATCCTCAGATCTCAGCCTCATTAGTAGCTAGGATTACAGGCATGAGCCACCAGCACCCAGCTTGTAATCTTGGTAACGGCCATTCTAACTGGGGTGAGGTGGAATCTCAATGTAATTTTGATTTGCATTTCTTTTATGACCAGAGATGTCATATATCTATTGGCTTATATGTCTTATTTCCTCTCCGGAGAAGTCTCTTTTTAATTCTTTAGCCCACTTATTAATGGGATGTTTTTTTCTTGGAGGATTTGTTATTGGGAGGATTAATTTTTTGTGCGCTAGGTATATTTTTGATATGAGGCTCTTGTCTGTTGTATAGCTAATGAAGATCATCTCCCAATCTGTGGGCTTTCTATTTATCTTGCTAGCTATGTCCTTTTCCATTTAGAAGCTCCACCATTTAATGCAATCCCATTTATACAGGCTTTCTTTGATTTGTTGTGATTCTGGATCTTTATTTCAGAAGTTTCAACCTGTGCCAAAGAGCCCTAGTGTATTCCCTATCCATTCCTGTAATACTTTCAGGGTGTATGCTCTTACCTTGAGGTCTTTGATCCATTTGGAGATGATTCTGGTGCTAATTTCAGTTTTCTATGACAAACACATGTCCATTGAAAGAGAAAGAAAAACATTTAAACAAGCATCCACAGTAAGTACTGTTGGTGTTTTGATGCCTTTTCTGCCAGACTGTTTTCTCTCTTTATTTTAAATCTGAGACCATGCTATGTATACAAGTTTGTATGTGGCTCTGCTGACATAAACATCCTGCAGCAGGGCCTTTTTGGCCATTGTGGCCTGTAGGAACCTTTCTCATTGTTCTTCACCCCAAGGCAGGAGCTCCTGGAACTGAAGGGAACTCAGAGCTCTTGTTTTCTCTCCAGCTGCTGAGGATACCCAGCCGGGCCTTACACTGTGCTTCCTGAGGAGCAGATGCCTCAGACACCCTACCCAGTTTTCTTTTCTGCAGTGTTGGAGATGGAACACAGGGCCTTGTATAGGGTTGGCAAGTTCTGTCCCATTAAGCCACACCTTAGCCCACCCCACCGACCCTGAAGATGGAAAGAAGGGTTTCAGGAAAAAGCCACCTGCAGGGCTGGGAAGGTGGCTCAGTGGTAGAGTGCTTGCCTTGCATGCATGAGGCCCTGGGTTTGATTCCTCAGCACCACATAAGCAGAAAAAGCTGGAAGTGGTGCTGTGGCTCAAGCGGTAGAGAGTTAGCCTTGAGCTGAAATGCTGAGGAACGTGCTCAGGCCCAGAGTTCAGGCCCCGCAACCCACCAAAAAAAAAACAAAGCCACCTGCAGTCTGGCTCTGCAAGTAGTCAAGTTCCTTCAAGCCAGTTTCTCTGGCCAGCCAGAGTGGTGACCAGATCTCTACTGCACTAGCTTCCAACCATCGCCCATTTGTAGAAAATGGTTGCAGTATTGCCCTTCAGAGCCGTGACCTTCAGGGTAGGTAGGGGGGAGGATGCTGTGAACTACAAGTGCCAAATTTTTCCTATAGGAGGCATAACAACTGAGTGAGTGGACAGGTCAGGAGCCAGATTAGCCTGGTAGCCTGGCTTGAGTGCCTCACAGTGTTCCTTCCTGATTCTGGACATCACAGCAGCTACTGCTTCTGCTATTTCCATCTGGCACCTGGTCATCAGTATTGACCCCTTGAATGCTACATCTGCCACCCCACTATAGGCATACACTAGCTACCTAAAAAACTTAGCTCTGATGGTCTTACATAATGGTTCTGCCTGGTCTCAAGCTGCTTCTAGGAGTGCTCCTCCCCACTGTAAGGCCATCACCTCTGATGGGATAAGGGTGGCAGGAAGCTTGTTCTGAGCCCAGCAGCCAGCTGAACCACAGAGAGCAAGAACTGTTCTGAAGGAGCACCCCACATAGTACGGGGTGAAGATAGGAAGGGAAAGAGCTCACCGATGTGGGTCTTGGACACAGGCTGCTCTTGAAGCAGAGACAAATATCCTTTGTCCAGCCCCAGTATGGAACCCTGAGTGGTTGCCTACCAGTTCCCAGATCTGACTCCAGAACACCTACAGTAGTCCAGCTCATTGGCTCAGCAGGGCCATTATCTAAGTGCTGCATTCCATGGGCTACCTCTCCCTCTTAATGCATCTCTACCCCAGCCCGCAGGGGGGCCTTGCCAGGCATTATCCCCATGCACAGGAATCTGAGGGCAGTCCAGAATCTGAGAGGGCCTCTTGTGGCAACATTGTGCTGTGTCAGCATTGGAATTCTTGCTGACAGGGGAGTTTGCTCTGGACAGAGCTGTACTCCTGGCAAGGGGGAATTGGGGGGGGGGGAGGGTTAAACAAAGCCAAGATGCTTCAGACAGCCAGAGCAGCAGACTCATACAGCAGAAATCCCCCCCACCTCTCTTTCTCTCTCCTCTCTCTCTCTCTCTCTCTCTCTCCCTCTTGCTGTTAGTTTTTGTTTTGTTATTTTTTGGTTGTTTTTTTTTTTTAAAACAGGCCCATCAGCCAAGACAAACAGAACCTAATCTCCTGGCATCAGCTCAGTTTTCAAAAATAGGCTGCTTCCCATGACGTTTTTTTTTTTTTTTCTTCCCTCAGTTTTGTTCCAGCTCCAAGCCTACCAGCCCTCACTGCTGTCGTATAAATCAAGCAGAAAAAGACCGAGTCTGGGTGCCTGTGGGAGGCTGTCCTTTCAGCGCAGGAGATTCAGGAGTAGGCAGCTCTGTGTGAACAGACTCGGTTCTCCTGGCTGGTGGCCATGTACTTGACATCCTCCCTCCTCTTCTGTCTGGCAGGCAGAAGCCAGCAGACAGAGGCTCCCAAGGGTCAGAGCCACACAGAGTGGCGAGCCCTCCACATGGGAAAATGCCACAGTCCATTTGGAAAGTGCTGGGGTCAGAATCTGTCCCCAGGACCCCCAAGCCAACCTGGAGAATAGCCAGAGTGCTGTTCAGGGCAGAAGCAGTCCAGAGCTCCAAATTCTGACTGTTTATCACCAACCCACATGTCCCTGCTGACAGAAGCTGCTCCTGATTGAGTGCAAATTGTTGGCTGGGAGGTGGAGGGAGAGGGGGAAGAGAGGCAAGTGGCGGTGTCAGCCCCCTGATGCACCTGTGGCTGGTCAGCTAGTCATAATTGTGGTCAGGTAAGGTCCTGATTGCTTTCTGAACATGGTAAATCTCTCTCAGACATATCCTCCCACAACCCGATGAGAGCAGCAGGGAAGCGTGTGAGCAATTTGCCTGGGGACTCATGGGCGTATGGCTGGGATTTTGACTCCATGATTTCAGCTCCACTGGAGCCTGTGAAGAAAAGAGAGGCAGTGCCTGGAGGAGACCCAGCAGCACTTCTCAGGCCAAGTGTCAAAATACCCCCCATTCCCTGAGTTGGGAGAGACCTTCTGGGCAGCTAGAAGCATCTTGTCTAGTTCCTGCCCTGTTTTTCTTCACATCCTCCATGACAGGCTTCTCTGGCAGCCCATGAAAGCACTTCTGTTTCAGATAGATGTCTTGGTTACACTTTGGAAACAACACAGCAGGGCAGAGAGCAGAGCTTTAGGAATCATGGGGTACACATTCTGGCCCTCCCATTAATGATCTGAGTGACTCCAGGCCAGGCACAGGCCTTCTCAAAGTTCTTTTCTCCTTCCTCAGTTTCCAAGAGTGTTTAATTTCACATGGAAATGACTGGCATGAGGCAAGTCCTCCACAAATCACAGTTCCTGTGACCATTGTTGGAAAGCCCTTCTCACATTGAGATCAAGCCTGTCTCCCTATAGCTTTGATGTGGGGTATTAGAGGCAATAGAAGAAGAAAAAAGAATTCCTTTTTCACATCTTTAAGTAGAGAAGATTGCTATATGCCCTACCCACTGCCCAGTGTCTGTGGGGAACTGGTCTAGCTGTTGGCAGCCCATCGCAGGAGGCAGACTGTCAAATGGAAAGCCTCCATCAACTGAAACCCCCCCTCTGTTTCCTTGTATGGCTGTTAAGCTGGGTCTTCCTCACCCCACACACAGACACTGGGCCTAGGTCTGAAATGCAAAGCTGTATTTGTCCCTGTTGAAGTGTATGCCCTTACCTGCAGCTGAGTGTCATTTTCTGGGATCTTGGAAGATCCTGATTCTATTATCCAGTGCCCTTTTGAGCTTTGTCTTCAGTCAATAATACCTTTTAATTAATCCAATGGTGCAAAAAAAAGACATTCTTATATGGCTGTTCATCAGATAATAAAAGGCTTCTTTCACATTGTTCCTTCAAGTAGCAGATGGTATATCCACCCCCCTCTCTTCCTTGCTTCTTGCATCTCATTTCAACAAAAACAGAATGGCCACAGCATTCTCTCTAGAGAAATCTACTTGTTTAGCTTCATTATTCCCTCTTTCTCATCAATAGACTTTATTCTCCCTCCCATCTCCTTTGCAGCAATAGAACAGGTCTTCAGGACTCTATTCTGTACTCCTTCAAACCAAGAGAGGGTTCAGAGGAAATGGATGAAAAAAAAAGACTATTTTGAGAGATAGAACTGAAGCTATCCCTTGAAGAGAAGATAAAGGTATTGAGATTAATTAATTAGACAGAAAAGAGAGGCTGTGTAGTGAG